CATTTATGAGCTTTTGTGGGTGTCATAAAAGGAAGGACTTCGAGCGTCCACCCCAACACACACAATAAAGAAGAGACCTAACCCTAACCCAAACCCTACCTCTAGGCCTGCCCCAAAAAGAACCTGCAACTACCCTCATGTAAAAATGCCAGCACAAGTCCAAAATGAAAAAAACAAAAAAAAAAAACCTTGAAAACAAACAAGGGGCATAGAATCTAATATCATATATAGCCCAGATCTAGATATAAATCTACATTGCTATAATAGGGTTTGATACAATAACACAATGGAATTGGAATATGAATCCTCTATATAGATCTAATCTAGTAATCTAAATAAATCTAGATCTAGAAGAACAAGTGAATAGGAGGCCTTGAGCGAGACATCCGATTCCGAACAGAGGGGCTCAGCTGAGTCCGAGTCTAGATTTTAAATAAATAATTTACGCCCCTGATGAAACGCTTTTTACCTACAATAATATTACAGCACAACCTATGATAGGGTTTGACAAAATAGAATTGGAATATGAATCCTCCATTGAGGTCTATAATGATATATAAATCTAGATCTAGTAGAACAATGACGGACTTGTCGAATGAATCCACATGATCTGAACAATCAGTCAACAAACGAAATTCAGAATGGGCCCTCAAGCATGAAACTGAAAGTGGACAATTTAGGTCGTCGTCCTTTTTCGTATTCATATTTCTACTCAAGTTCCGACAATTATGTCGGAAACGCCGACGTCCGCAGTCGGCGGTCGGCACGAAAACGAAAATGCCAACAGGAGAAAAAGGGGGCGCTGGTAGTCGGATTTCAGACGATTGTCGGCAAACATGCAGGTCTAGCAGACATCTATATTTTAACCTCTAGTTTATTTGCTTGTTTTAAGAAAGTAAAGCACATTGACACAATAGGCAATCAATTTGGTTGGAGCTGGGGAAAAAATAAGGCAGACACACAGAAACAACAGACGGAAAGAAAAGAAGTAAGACCTACCAGTGTCACACTCTAACCACTCATCTCTCATATATTTAATGTTACTTTGTTTATGGTGGCATCTACAGAGAAACATACACGATATAGTACTTGATCAGTACTAAATCAGTTGGGTTAAGATGCAAATGGCCCTAGTTCAAATTCTCAATGGGCTTTGTTGAGCTAGGGGTGTATGAGGAGTTTTCAAGGCTCCCTACCCCCTGGGCTCAAGAGTAGGACAAGAAATTCAGAATTCTCACCTGTATAATAACTTGCAATGTCAAAAGGTGCACTAAACGTGTACAATTATGCCACACACTACGAAAATGAGTCCCTCATAAAAGAAAATAATAAACTTCCCATATTCAGGTGGGGAAAAAAAACAAAAAACCGTCATCATCGGTCATGAATGAGCACAGTGGTATGCGAACTATGTTTCCGAAATATCGTCATGCATTATTTATCGATATATTTGTATATTTATGTATTCAAAAATAGAACAAATTTCCCAACAGGATCAATAAAGTACAACAAATTCACCTTTTTATTCACCTCAGACAACCGTTGATTTGGCTTTAGTGGTTAGGTTGTCAGTGGCCTGGCATTATGTCCTTGGGGAAGGCACTTCAGCTAGCAATGCATGTTTCCCCAGGAAATTTTTTATCATTATTATTATTATTATTATTATTATTATTATCATCATTATTTTGTTATCATTATCATTACTAATATTATTACTACTATTATTATTATTATTATTGTTATTATTATAATTAGAAATATTACTGTTAGAAATATCTTTATTGTTATTATTGTCATTATTATTATTATCATCATTATTATTATTATCATTAATGTTAATTTTAAAAAACAGTAATTCGTATTATTATGTTATTATCATTATAATCATTATCATCGTCATTATCATTTAATCATCATCATTTTTTATTATGTCATTTGTTTTGTTGTTGTTTTGTTATTTTTATTCAAATTATCATCATGAATCAGCATCATTATTATCATTATCACTATTATTATTTGTAATAGCAGTATAAGTATCATTAGTATTATCATTATTAGTATTAGTACAATTATTAGTATTAGCATTATTCGTATTATTGGTATTACTAGTATTATTCTCATTTGCCCCAAACTGTGACAGGATTACCGTGCTGGGAGGTGTTGGAGACAAGCCTCATGCTGGCCACAAAGTTCACATCCGGCACCACATCCTCCCAGCCCCTCCAAGTCTCCTTCACCCTTCTCAGGCTGGTCGTGTCGGAGCAAGAGATGTAGAAGTCCCTCTGCTGAGGAGGGGAAAAAAATATTACTTTTCCGATCCAGCGGCCACCTGGGTTCTAGCCCTTCGGCCGTCGATATGGCAAAGAATTTACAGGTTTTTACCAGCTGTGTTTTGTGGAAAAAAACCCATTAAAAACACTCAATAATTGTGCGACACTGTGGTGAAATCGGGCGCTCATCAAAGTAACTAAATCAAAGAAACCAGCATTTATGCGCCAGTTGGGCAAATACTTATCGAATATCTTTCTCTTTTTAAATTTAATCTCATTTCATTTTTTTTTCTCGGGGGCGGGGGGGGGGGGGCACGGGGCACTCAGTATCTTTTAAGCCCATTTAAACTTCAAAAACACATTTCTAGGAGGATTTTCCTGAAAAATGTTGATCAAAGGCATTGTAAAATGTAAATTGGCAGTTTCTAAGCACAATTAAGCTTTGAAAGCTATCAAACTTAAACAGCCATTTTCTCACAAATTTTACCTCTTACCCCACACTCTCTTCAATCGCAAATATTTCGACTCTTACTTAGGACAGACGGGAATTTTATTCATCTAAACCAAGGTAAATGAACAAACTCTAGAAGGCTTTAATTCCAATAACTCCATATGCCCAAAAGCTGACGAGTGCTTAATTCCACCCTGTGGTGACACAATCGATCATTCTACACAGTTCAAAACCCTTTCATCACTTAACCTCCTCCAAGTCTTTATGTCCCCCTTGCTCAGCAACCCTCAGTACAACAATATGTGAGGCAGCATGGCGGAATCAGGCTCTCGTCAATTTTTGGGCATGTAGAGTTATTGGTATCATCTTAAAGCTTCTTCACTAGTCTTTATTTGGAAGAAAAAAAACATCCATTTATCTTGAATACAAGTCGAGATATTCGCTATTGAAGGAGGTGGGGGTCACCTGTTTTCATAGGTAAAATAAGTGAGAAAATGGCCGCCAAAGATTAGTTATTTCCTAAGCTTAAGATTCTGTGGTAACTGAAAATTAACATTTTTGTGCCTTTAATCAACGCTTTTCTGAAAGATCCACACAAAAATGAATTCTTTACTGGGCATGAAAGGTGTTGAGCCAAAAAACAACAATTTGATAAAAATTCACAAACCTGCGGAAAAATGCAAGTTTCTTCACTTTGATTATTTTGACGAGAGCCTGATTCAACCACGCTGCCTCACATATGTACAAACAGCATCAGGCGCTTCGCCTTTGCAAGCGGGAGATCTAAATTCTCCAAATATCTCCATATTTCTGTTGGGACGCTTTCTGTTGGGACGTTGAAATATCGCTCTCATTCTCGACTGCCCCTTGGCCCTGACAAACAGGATCAAAACCC